ACAAAGTGATTTTGTCACAAAAAGTCTAATCTGGCTCTTCTCCGAGGCAGGATGCTGGACACTACTCTAGCAGAAGACATTTTGAGCTGCATGATAATGGTCCCTCCTTAAACTTTTCTCAAAAATCCAAGTGTTGATTTCATTCACTGTTCATCAGATGAAAGGACTAATCAAAAGAAATGCTGTGCTAGCAACCTACCACACACTCTCCTGAGGAAGCTCAATGGAAGCTATGTGTCTTCTATAAAGATATCCCTTAAGGAGGCAGGTATCCAGAGAGAAATTTTTAAGTTCCTGTGCTCTTACTGGAAAGACTCCATCGTACAATAGGATTTATAGCAGTTTTTGCGCCATAGAGAGGAAACATAAAGTTCTTCGATCAGCCTTAAGCCGCTAATATTAAGCTACTTGGGAGACAGGATTAAAGGGGGTAGGGCCCCAAGTAGCCCTAAGACTTAGGCTTCTGCTTTAAATTCTGTGTTCCCATACATTAACAAATCTAAAGCACATGATAAGATAATGATCTTCTACTTCAAATCCTTTCTTTCTCAAAACCAGCAAGATATGAGGCCCTGATGTGTTACTGTCCATTTTATTACAGATAAAGAATTGCAGGAGCGGGAGTTCAGGTCAAGTCAACTCTTTAAGGTCTGCCAATTTCAGGACTCTACATGCTTACAATTTAACCTAATTAAAGCTCTGAAATTATGATTGAATATGGAAATGCACTGGCTAGGAAGTGAATCTGCCAATCTCAACGCACTTTGTTTCTCATAACTCCAAAATCCTGTCCCATTAGGAAATGCATGCAGCGGTATACACTGCACTGACAAGGAGCACCATACAGATTTAAATGCTGTCTGACTGCTAAATTGCATTTTAAAATGCGATTTGGAAAGGCACCACTGAGGGCAAAGCTGGTGGAAGAGAGGAAACCAGCGACAGTGGGATCTGTTCCCCGGAGCCCGACTCCTCCTGCCTGCCCGACGCCTGCCTGGCCAGCCAAGGCGCCTCACATAGCACACAGCTTACGAGGGGTGGAGAGCATACTAGTCCTTAGCCTAATGCCTCATTAAATCCTGGCTATCTTCTGTGTGTGCTAACCAGTAAATAACTGCTGGATGCATGTTAAGTTGCACATATCCTGCTGGCAGAGTGTCTCTGCACCCAGCTATAAATGACAGAACAAACTGACCCAAAAGCAGGGCCACAGCAATCACACTTAAGCCATTCCTGGAAAACACCACAGAAAAAGATCTAATTCATTATTTAACATGGGTAGCAAATAAAGCAATATACAGATACTGGGGAAAAATGGGACCATTGCAGGCGGCTTTGATTTGATTTACAAAAAGAACACTAGTATCAGTTCAGCCACAGGCTCTCTTATGTACCTGGGATCATACTGAGTCAGCTTTTGTGAAAAATGACCACAAGATCTCATCAAAACCAAAAAAACCTGCAACACATACAATGTGTAACATTTGACTACGTATCTTAGTAAGTCTATGGTAAAAAATGTCTTCTTATTAGGAAATCTTCTATATACAGTGGGATAGAGAATACTAGCATTTTAATCTTATTTTTTTCTCTACTCTGTTCTTACCCAGCTAAAAATCTCTTTAAGACTTCCTACTGGGTGAGCTCATCATTGAAAGCATGGTCAAACTTTTACACAGAATCTCTGATTTCTACTGCTCTCCTGGCCAAGGACTTTCTGAGCAGCAGAAGAGAAACCTTCCTGCTTGCTAAGGGTCCTGCGAATGAACACTACCAGACTGGAAACATAATCATGTAAGCAAGTGCAGTACAGACTGGTAACTGTTGTTTTGATAGTTTTTCTGTACATATTTGCAGCAGTAAGATGTTTCATCTGACCATCTGTATTTGAAAACTGCAACAGCATATTAAGCATTTTGGGGGGAAATGCTAAATCAAAATCTCATTTGAAAAAAGGTTGAGAGGTGAGATGCTGGTAACACCATCATTATCAAGGGCTTCTGAAATAGTCTAGAGATGAAAATTCCCAGAAAAGCAAGCATAATGAGTCTGTTTCTTCCCAGAAAATTGAGTGCCACTTTGCTATGTGATGCAGACAGTAAAAATAAGTTGCTTTAAAGAAAATATTAGAATCCCAAAATACAGTAACTCAGTACAGCTGTAACCAAGAATTCTGCAGCATGACACACGGCTTTCTATGTTGTAAAATGAACAAGGCAAGAACTACTTTAGCTGTTATTTTACACCATGACTGAAAACACAAGCAGCAATCTAGAGTAAATGCGAGATCCTTAGGTAGTTAGAAAAAGAATTCATTCTTTATTAAAAAAAAAAAAGACAGCAACTTCTGTCTCTAAATGAACTAAAAGGATTTAAAATGCAACTAACATGATCAGCTAACACCAATTCAAAAAGGAACTGAGGAAAAAATAAGTGATCTTTGTGACTGGTAGCTCTATTGCTACCATGCAAAAAAAAAAAAAAAAAAAAATCAGTAATGGAGAGCCATAAAAACATCACCATCATTTGGAAAATGCTGTCTATATTTTTTAAGATATTCCTAAGACTTCAGAGATGAAGAATGTATATTCCAGTGATTGAATATGAAGAAAAGGAAAGAAAGTCTAGATTAATAGAATGGAAACTATGGGTTGAGCTGAAAAAAATACAAGTTTCTGATTTTATAAGTTAAATCAGTTCACATATAGTTTGATGTACCTTAAATTTATTCTGTTCGTAGACATTTGGGGTAAATAGGTACCTGAAGCTGTCAGCAACTTTAATAATTCCAGATCTATTCTTTCCTGCCTGTGTCGAAAGAAAAAAAAAAAAAGAGAGAGAGAAAAAAAATCTAATTTCCTGGTGTCATGGTTTAACCCCAGCCAGCAACTAAGCACCACGCAGCTGCTCGCTCACATCCCCCAACCAACGGGATGGGGGAGAGAATTGGAAAAAAAAGTAAAACTTGTGGGTTGAGATAAGAACAGTTTAAGAGAACAGAAAGGAAGAAAATAATGATGATGATGATAATGTTACAATAATATTAATAAAATAATTGGAATATAGAGAAAAAGTGATGCACAATGCAATTGCTCACCACTTGCCGACCAATGCCCAGTTAGTTTCCAAGCAGCGATCTGCCCCCCCTGGACAACTCCTCCCAGTTTATATACTGGGCGTGACGTCACATGGTATGGAATACCCCTTTGGCCAGTTTGGGTCAGCTCTCCTGGCTGTGTCCCCTCCCAACTTCTTGTGCCCCTCCAGCCTTCTTGCTGGCTGGGCATGAGAAGCTTAAAAATCCTTGACTTAGTCTAAACATGACTTCGCAACAATTGAAAACATCAGTGTGTTATCAACATTCTTCTTATACTGAATCCAAGACATAACACTATACCAGCTACTAGGAAGAGAATTGACTCTATTGCAGCCAAAACCAGGACACCCGGATGGCAAAAGACAGGCTGAAATCAAGTTACTCTACATCTTTGTATCATTTATCAATGAAATGCATATAATTTTTAAAACCTTTTAAAAACCAGTCATGGACTAGATTCAACACTTTATTTCTGAAATCTTTCCTTCATACATGATGATGTTCAAAAAGGTTTTGATATTTTATAAGTAGCACAAACAGAACTAAATGAACACAAGTATGGTTGTAAGTATGTGTGTGTAACGCAACAAACTCCCAAACATAAATATTTGCTACTAGCACGTCATATATAATAAATGATAATTCTGTTTTTAAAAAGTGCACACAAGCAGATCATTAGCGCATATCAGTATTTGTTAGGATGGCTAAGCATTTGCAAAAATGGAAAAAAAATAAAATCAACATTTTACACATTATAAATAACTAACACTGAAATACTACATTTAACACACAGGTATTGTCCATGCATGAATTAGCTTATGTTTTCATCAAAAAAAAAAAATTATTTAAATATACATTCTAAATTACATATATTTATCTGAAGGTACTACTTTTAAAAAAACCTACCACAGCATATATCTATAAAAACAATTACTTTCTCAATCAAAAGTGTTTTTGTATTAGTCCTGTATCAGCTGAATGTTTACATGTGTTTAACCTGAGGCATAAGTCAGTCTTACTCACCTCAGTGAACAGCAGCTCTTGTACTCAAACACAGCCAAGTACTTAAATACCTTACTGGAGCTGAGTCACCATGAAAGGGTGACATTCAGAGCTTAAACTATGCCTGTATCTAAAATACTTTCCTACTTATATTTTTAAAATATTACTATAGTATAGTCCTGATCACAATGGGCTGTAGGGAAAAAAAAAGGCTGGATGGGACAGCCTTGTGGCTGCAAATACTTCACGCAGTGCAGCAGCATGTGCTATATTGGTGCTAAGCTACAGGGAAAAGAAAGGAAGGGAGCCTAATGCTCTCTAAATTTTTACCTGTCTTAATAGGATAGATATTACCTTGGGCAACTAGACTTCTACAGTAACAGAAGTATAATGACTGATAAATATTATATAATTATTAATAATTAAAATACGGAAATTACTGTGCAACCAGTCCATGCGTGTTCTCTTCCCCCACGTGAACTGAAAGGTCATCTGTGATCATCTGCATTTAACCAGGGACTAAAAGGACGCAGGTAAGATTTTACAGCACAGGACCTAACACATGGTAAATTTGCTGACCAATTCACAACTCTGTGTGCATACCCCACACACACACCTGTCACTACCATCATGCAGTCCGCCTTTTCACTTCTGTTCCATGAATAATACAATTCTTTGTATCAGTAACACCAGGCAAATTTTCCATATGTGACCAGCCAGTAGGATATACAGTGATGACTGACCTGCTTTTCCTTGCCCGCAACAGAAGTTTTCCTAGGGAAGAAGTAACATTAGAGTACTCAGTCCTGCAAAATACTATTAGGCTTCAACAGCCTTGCCTCCAACAAGATTTAGAGCCAAATCTTGAAAAGCTTCTTTATTAATAAATAATCTAAAGAATTCAGCCAAACATTGTTACGTATGCAGCTTTCAAAAACTGGACATAATTCTGGATGCTCTGGTTCTTGTTCTCTGACTTTTGAAGGCTGTTCTCCAGCTCTTTCAAACGTACTGCATGGTGCTTTTCGTTCTAAAGAAAAAAGAGAAGTGCAATGCAACTGAGAAATAAAATACCAATCAATCAAAATTATAATGTAAGACAACTAGTACCTAAATTTTATAAGCCTTATTTACCTGTAAAAGTTTTCAGAGGCTCCACAAAACTGAAGGTTCCCCCAAAGGCCTCAGAATATTGAAGCTTTATTTATGTTCAGTCAGGACCAAACTGAACATGTTTAAATAGGCTTATAATCCAAAAAAGGCCTGGGAACATAAAAACTAACCTTCTGAATTTTTATCATGAAAGATTCCTAGCATCTTAAATCTATTATGGACTTAACACTCTCTCTCATGTTGACTTTTCAAGGAAACATCTGTTACTGATCTCTGATGCAACATGATTTTTGATGCCTATAGTTCCTAATATAAAAAAGGATGATTGATAGCAATATTACCTGCTCATTAGTTCCATAAATGATGCAAACCATAGATAATTTGTTATATAAATACTACCGATATTCAGGTATTTCCTTTTATGTCTATTATAGATTTCAGATGCTAGTTGGTTAAAATAAATTTAATTTTTTTAAAATGGAATTATAGTCATCAGATTTAAATCCAGCCTTAGAAAAAAATAATCAGGTTAGAATGAATAATTGAATAAAGTTACCTTCACAGTCCTTCCAGTTTCACTACAACAACAGGAATAAGATCATTTTATAATTTTCTGTAATGCATTCTCAGTTATATGTAAATGTAATTGGAATAAAAAGCAAGAAGTTAATTTAGACCAGTTCGCTCAGACATATCTTTCATATTTATACTTTACCTGTAAGCTTCAAATGGAAACCATTTGAAAACATACCTATGAGTTTTTCTGGGATGAAAGACAAGAAAATTTTCTTTATTTTCTATTTTACTTTAACATAGTAAGAAATTCCTATGAAAAAATATTTGAAGTAGCATAAAACACTAGCTGATGCCTGATTTTATTTTAAGAACACTTTTGTTTTAGGGTAAACGCAGATGTTAAGTTACACTTGATAGAGACAAAAATTAATTAAAGCATACTGAATTCAGAACAGTATCTCTGATGTCTTATTTAAATCTTGAATAGAGTTTGCATTTAGGTTGGCTTGATTTTAATCTTCAATACTGCAAGTCAGAATACAGAATATTGTTTTTGAAAGTCTAGGAGAGTGATAGTAAACATTTTTAGTGTCCTCTATATTTATTTTATATAGCTTTGTAGCTTATTATCACTGATCACAGGACAGATCTCTAACTGTATCAAAACTTTGATTAAAGCAAATGATTTGCCATCACTAATCTAGGGAATTCAGCGATGTCTGACATTTTATTAATAGAAAATGTGCTGAAATTTTCTGGATTAGATAAAACAATGTTTTGTTTTCAGATAGTATTACTCATCCAAAATACCTTCTTTGACTGTGGCTTTGCTGAATAGGTAAGTATCAACATATCAAAACTTGGGCATTTAAAGGCTTGACACTTTGAAAAAATCAGAGTATCTCCTTTGTCACTAACTACATGTATATGGGACATTGGTACATGAGCTGAAAGCTTTTCACAAATTGAAGTAATATCAGATTCTTGTAATCAGCTCAGGAAAAAAAACAGATACCACTATGTCATTATGGAACTGTTACTCATTTATTCAAATCTAGGCATGTTTACTGAACATGTTGTAATTTCCCTCTCAGATTAATCTTCATACATATTTTTTTATTTTTGCCTTGCTGGGAAAACTGGATTGAGTAAGAGATGTAAAGTCAGTATTATTCTAGTGATTTAGTCAGACTGGGCATCTGTTAAGTCTGTTAGAAATGTCAATAGAGGAAGTATATTGTCAAGTTGAATTAATTTGCTGTTCCTCAAAGTGTGTATCAATTGTATTAGTAGTGTGTTTTTCAGTAAAAGGAATTTTTACTGTAAATGGTGATGCGGTAAGTAATTTCTTAAGTCATAAACAGTATTATTTACTTACATGGTGAAATATGCAGAGGAGTTGTTTTTTCTCTTCTTGCCCCTCTCTCACTTCAGTTTCAAGTGCTAGCATTTTTGTCTGAAGGGCTTGTTCTTTGTATGACATTTTTTCCAGTTCTTCAGCTACCTATAATAGTAATGAGAGAGAAATTATGTATGTTTACTTTCACTTAAAGCCCAAATGAAATTATTTTCTTATACCTTAGCATTAATAGCTCTACTTCCTATTCTGTCATCTAATACTTCAGTTATTTCCCATGCACAGAAATTAAACTAACATGGGAAATATTCTGGCTAAATTTGAAAGAAGTTTCAATTTGGAAAAAAATGTAATATTATTGGGAGGGAGACACTTTTGTAACTCATTTTTAAGTTAAGCCAAACTTGCTATTTTTTCAAACCCAAATCAATATCCTCACACAGTACTGAGAAAATTCAGATAGTTTATTTACATGATTAATCTGAGACAGAAATTACAACTTCATAAATATTTTCTGATTAAACTAATATAATTCACTGTAATCTAAATTCCTACATTTCCTCTTCCATTTGATTTACTGTTTGCATCCTTTCTACAAATGAGAAATCTCTGCTTAAGATTGAAAGTGTGCAAAGCCTTCCTCTAAAATGAGAAGGATTTCAACACTGAAGTTCTTGTGGGCTGTCCATTAAAGAAAATAAGAAAAAGGCAAGATTAAGCTTTTGTTCAGAAACTTTTGCCACATGTGTAGGATTTAGTATTAGGTGCTTAAAGCATTTTGATTTGCCACCAAAAAAATTATAATGAAATGTTGGTCCACTGACCTTTGTCATTAATTTCAATAGGATCCGAATACTACAAAGGAGTTGAATTGTGTAATCCATATTTAAACATGCAGAAATTCCCAGTAACTTTTTAGTATTGCTCCCTATGTGCAAAATAATCTTGTCCCATCTTTTCTACTCAAGCACATTTGGTTTTAATGATATTTTTAAATAGAAAATGGCAAACAAGATCAAGAGATGTATTAAATCATCAATACCATTTTTCTCCCTTCTTCCAAAGCAGATTCCAGTTGTCTGGTTAATCCATTATATTCTGCAATTTTCTCTTCAAGCTGCAATTTACTGCACTGAAGACTCTCATCTTCTTTTTTGAGTTGACAAGCAAGTTCTTCATTTTGAAATTGCATCTTTTCTAATTGCCTTTATGCAAAACAGATTAACGCATTATAGTTCACTATAGCAGAAAAGTGTAGGAATTAATTGCACTCAGATTTTTAAAAAGTTACCTTTTAAGATCTTCATATTTCTTCTGAATGTTACAGTTTTCTTCTTCTAAGGAATGACTACCCACAGAAGTTACACTGTCTTCCTCCTGTGAAAATGACAATTAGTTTCTAGTTGAAGAGACCTATATAGGACATTACAGAGTAAAGTAAGCTCGCCTATTAAAATCCGATCAAACAATTTAACTGTAATTTCAGGTAAACGCTATATTATGTTCAAGTAAACATTATCTTGTATTTAAAACAAATAAAATACAGCCAAAGTAGCAAACTAAAACTTTGTGTGAACACTTTAAGACTGAAAAACCACTATGTAACAAAGTGAAGTCCTAACAAAACCCATATGCTGCTCACACAGCCTTGTGTATTAGGAGTTGGCTGGGTCTACCTCCTTGTGAACTTTGACTCTTAAGCTTTAGATTCCAGCAAAAGTAAGTTCTCTCACACTACAGTCACAAGAAGCATAAAAATAATACTGCATATATATACAGTTATCACAGAACACTGTAGCACTGGCAAGGAATTTTAGAAAGTAGTTAATATCAAAAAAGACAATCAAGTTCGTAAAAAGAGGTATATCAGTAGCGGAAGCTGAAGAAAGTAAGCAGCCAAACTGTCTTCCCCTGCGCAGCATCCAGACTAACATTTTTACATGTTTTCTTTTAAATCTCGTAACAGTAGTGATGAGATTATTGCTCTTGCTACCATACATCAACAGCAGATTAGCAATAAATAGCCACATCACCAGCCTGCTGGCACCATTATTTAAGGGGCAACCTTCATCATTCACTGGACTACCTCAAGTGGTTCCATCCAGTAATTTGAGTTAATCTAGTTGATTTTGTTTATGTGAATTACAGGCTGTTCAGCTAGCAGACTGGTAGTAGCAGAAATCTCCAGCAGAGGAGCAGTAAACTGATGTCCTGGTCTAGCTGAACCCAGAAGAGGGTTTCTACACATGGTCCAGCTGCTTCAAAAGGAATTTTCCTAAATTCTGGTCATAGGATCAAGGGTCAGAAGTTCTAAAGGACATCACCAAGATTTAAGGCTGAAATTTAACTGCTGTTCCACCAGCCTAGTGGTTATATTCCCAATTACTTCACTATACTGAAGAGGTTTTTTGCATTTATTCAGGAAAACATGTAGTTAAGACTAAAATTAAATACATCATTTTATATATGCACCTCAAAATTAATTGTTGCTTAAGTACTTTGCTAAGCAAAGATGGTTTTATGAGCTTATGAGTGTCCCTAGAAGGAGTATTTAAAATTATACAAACAAGAACAAAATTCAATGCTATAAAGATCATCTTGACAAGAAATTTAAAACAAAATCAAGAGCTATTTTTTTTTTATAAGCATATAAAGTCTACAGGGACGCAGAGACTCACTGTGTTTCCGCTGAAGTTTTCCCACTGACACAGGGAGAAGATTAAGCCCCTTCCCCCCCTGCTGATTTAAACACCTTTGTCATTTGTGCTAGCAGAGTATTTTCTTCTAACTCAAAAGCACATTTCAAAAAAAAAGAGAGAAAAGAGAACAACAAAAACCCCCAAGCTTAGCCCTGCCATTGAAATTGACAGGAAAAAAAGCTGAGGAATATTCATATTCAGCCTTAAGAGAAAATACAAGCAATAGTGCTAAAATACTACTAAAAATAGAAATGATCCTATTAAAGCATATTTTAAAAAATATTTTATCAGCCAACACAATGTAATCATTAAAATGTTAAAGTTATACATCATCAACAATATAATTTATGACTATTTATCTGAGTAAATATTGTCTGCTTCATAAATCAGTCATTAAAAACAAAACTAATGTGGAACTAAATTATTCCACTAGACACAAACAATAACTAGACTTGCACATTTATTTCCAGGGAAGAATTCTGCGACACATCTCTGGACATAAGTATTCAAAAGGATCGAGAATATACTCACTTAAAAGATACAGAATCTAAAAGCAACTAGGCTTGTCATGTACTGAATTCACATATATACAGTTGGCAATAGTTTCATTTGCATTATGCTATTTCTACAGAAGAAGCTTTTGACTTATGAAGCAAATAACAAAGGAAACTACACAACTGTCTGACACGTTAATAGGAAAAAAACGTTCCAGAGACTTTCTTCCACATAACTTTCGCACTTATCTTTAAAAATCAGCATGTTCTAAGCACCTGAACCTGCAGCTCCCTAAGGGTTTTGCATTTCTGTGCATGGATCCTTTCCCAGGACATAAGCTTTTCCTGATATCCTTGCTGCTTTCAGCAAGTCACAAACATGTTCTAACTCCTTTAACTCAGCCTCTGTTTTGTCCCTCACCTGCATAGTAGCATCACAGGAGAAAAATGTAAGTGTAAAACCATAAATTAATTGTTGCAATACTCAATGGCTTTCCATGTAAGTAATAAATCTGAAATTCTACACAAGTTGCATATCACCTATTTATAAAATACTGACAAAGTTACAAGTTCATCATTCGAGAAATTTCCACCTCTGACTACATTTCATTAAAGACTCAGTGACACTCACAATGAACATACACAAAATTAGGCAAGTGTTAGCAGTTCACCATGCAACAGCAAATTTTGACTTTATTTTTACTGCAATATATTTTGGGAGATGGCATAGACACACTACGCAGCTTACAAGAAAAATTCTGACCATACAAGTACTGCAGTATTTGAAAAGAGGGCAACACCTAATGCCATCTGAAGCCACATACAATGTTGTGCAAATATTATTTATGGGATCAGAAAATATTTTTCTCCATTATACAACTCAATCATGGAAAAATAAAGTTAGTATGAAATAAAATGAACGATCTAAGACGCTTCTCTGTGAGGACTAATTCTGCTCTCTAAAACAGAACGTTGCAGGCAATGCAAAACCTGTCCCTGCCTCAGCTTTATCACTTAAAAGAATATGTATTTTGATGAGCTGTGGAACTGAGGAAAGTGATTTTCCTACCAATTTTTTACTGTTTTCTGATGCTTAAGAATGCACTAACTGTGTTCCAGTATTCAGCTCCATATGCTGAAAAACTTAAAACTCATCCCTGTACGGATTCTCTGTTTTAACTGCTACTTAAAACAAACAAAGCAGTCTTATAGCAGGTTTGCTTCCCTATGCAACTTTCACAGCTGTTCTGTCGAGAGATCTGGTTTTAAAATCATCAACACCAATATCACATTTTAAAAAGTGATAAAAGAATCCTTGAATTCTAAAATAGCAGCCCAACTCCTTAGTCATTATCCTAAGAACGATTTCTCACTTGTTTGCAATTATGTAGTATCCAAAAAAACCACCAGCTCACAAGTAAGAGTTAGTAAAACATTCAGTGAATTTAAAAACAATTCTATACATGGAAAAAGAAAAAAGAGCCAGTACCTTCTGACTTCTAATAAGTGGATCACAATAACGTAGGAAAGATCAATGTCCTACAGAATTGTTTGGAAACATGCTTCATCACTGCAAAACTTACCTTATCTACTTCTAAGCATTTGTTTTCTGTCATTCTGTTGTTTTCATTTAAGACTGTTTCATATCTGGATTTCAATTCTTCTACTGCTGTTTGTAATTTTTGTACCTAGGACAACATATATTTTTCCACATACATTTGCAAGGTGTATCTTTTAAATATAGAAAAGACAGAATCATTAGTATGGAGCATAAAGGAAAACCTTTGATTTCTAAATAGAATCTCAGTATTTGTCATTATACGAAGTTATTTATTTTCATTATCCTACTCACCACAGCAAATATAAAAGGGTAACCAGGTGAAGAGCGCTCGGATATCAAAATTTCATTTTCAACAATGGAGAATGAGCTACCATTGTGCTACAGAAGCAGCAGCATGACTTACCCTTCTCTCCCCACATAAAAAGTATCACCAACAGTTCCCATCTGGAGTCACCACAGCTACGAGCTACGGTATTTCATCCCACTCACTGCTTTAAGGCTGGGCGTTCCCTGGAACTACATCTCCCATCTTAAAGCTGGCAACTTTAATTGTGGTGATGCATTCCACAGACAAGGAACACTGGCTGTACTTAGATTTTGTGTCATGTCTTTTGTCAATGATTTTAAAAAGAGGTAAGTGAAGATGGTCAGGGAAATGCTGTTTATACTATAGCAGAAATATATACAACTTCGAATCAATGTTCTAGAATGCCTTCTGTGTAAATAAAGCCAAGTAAAAAAAAGGAATTGATAAAAAGCCCATTTTAAGTCTGATTTATATGTTTTGCTGGTATTTTCAATGTGGAGCTGCCTACGTAAATAAGATGGCTCTTACAACAGTACCTGAGTGCTAGCTTACTATTCTTAGGAATGAGTAAATAAAGATATGACCAAGGAGAAGCTAAATATCATTGGATATGTCCACCAAAGACATCAGACTCAAATTTTACTTTTTAAATATAGTTTACCAGGTTGCCAACTTGCTTTTTAGGAAGCAAATCTTTTCTAAGCAAGTAAGTAATTAGCTCTGTTGGCTTCAATGAGCTTCAACTGGGCTTCACACAATTCAGTAAGGATTATGTGTACTAGTAACAGTGTGGAGACTACTCTTGGATAGGGTTTGTAATGGCACTCTCTTCTATCATCCGCAGTGTTAGGACAGTATAATAATCACTATGACAACAAAACTGTTTTATTACAAACAAAACCTTCATCATTTCTTCAAAGCTGCTTAAAACTTTAAAAGCCATACTTGAACATTTCAAATATGCTAGTCACCTGATTTTTATACTGTTCAACAAGGTTTTCCTGCAGCTTTGCCTTTTCTTGCAGATTTCGCAGCTCATTTTCAACAGAAATGGTACTGTTTTCTAATGTAGCAAGGGAAGCCTTGATTAAAACACAGAAAATATAAAAACTGTAAGAGTGTTATTAAAATAGCACAATCTACAATATGATAGTACTAGCAAGTGACCTGCAGGCATTAAAAAGAGTCACACAATCATTTATCCTGTCAAACAAAAATAATAGCCCACAGTTCATTTGCCAGCTCATGAGAACATTTACTTCGTAGGATAAACACAATACAAAACCTGTAAATACTTTAAAAATTGAAATTAATAAATGAGCTAAACTCAGTTCTTTAATTTGAAAGAAAGTTTTACAAACATAAAAGAACAATTTCTAGTTAAGCAATTTTGTAGCTACTGACAGTAAAATAAATGGCATCCTGGTTAAGCAGGTAGATGATTAGACAACCCTGTTCCTAGCTTTGCCATAGATTTCTGACACATTTTCAATGTCTCATTTTCACTTACTGTAAAAAATGGATGGCAAAATTTATTCTACAGGTTTGGGATCTCTAGACAGAAGGCCCAAAGGGAATTAATGTGGTTATTTCATTAATGTATCAGAAATACAGAGCCATTCAACAATGATTTATAATGATCTCACCTTTAGTTTTTCATTTTCAAGGTAAATCTTTTCATTTTCAGACTTAACAGAATTTAGCTTTCCAAGAATCTCCTCATCTGAGTTTCTTCTCCATTCCTCCTTTCTTTTCAGGTCTTCCAAAAGGCTTGTGATCTGCCTTGTTAGATAGGCAAGAACTTCTGTATAATATACAATGCTTCCAAAACTCGCACTATGCAAATTAAATTGTACCTTAACACATACTCCTTCACTGTTCTTATTTAAATAAACCAAAAAAAAAAAAAAAAAAAAAAGTATGCATTTAAGCATCCCAAGAAAGCAGTATCTATTGAAATAAGAAACTATCCAAAAGAGTGGTCCACCAAGGAAGTGGTCCTAGCTCAAATATAAATAAATCCATTACCTAGAACACCCAAGCATAGTTCCAAGACAACTATGCATACACATACTGTACAAAATTGAATGATATTGAATTTATAGGGTCTATCAGATAATGTCCTATTAAGAACATTCCATAGCTAATTTAGGAATGGTACTTTCCATTATTAAAAGCAACAGGCATTAAAACCAGCTGGAAGCAGAATGAGTACTTGAGGGAAGTATCATAGATGTTTCCCTTTTCTTATTCTTTCCTAGATGCCTCCTCATGCACACTGGACCAATAGTGGGCTAGACAGATTTCTGGACTGATGTCATGTACCTGCACTCCTGTTAAATTCTAAAATATGCTGAAAATATTTTCAGAAATGTCAGATTTTCTGAAAGAAAAACAAAAGAGTCAAGCCAAATTAATTTGAGCTGTTACATATTTGAGCATGAATCAAGTTCTTTGTAAAATAAATATTCTGTGTTAGACCTAGCATAAAAAGGCACCTACCAGTTTCTTTTGCTTGTTTGAATTACAGTCCGTATTTCTACCAACAGAAAAGGTAAAAGGATATGTCACTGTCTGCCAAAGAAAACGGCATATCCTTCATGTGCATTAAGATTTGACCACATAGTTTGAATAACGTTGGACAATTTTGTGTTGCTTTTCCTTACAAGAATAAACTGTTCAAATGTGCATCTGAGAGGAGTCCTTCTCTGTCCTCTAGTGGGGTGAGACATTAGTGGAACTGAAATAATTTTGCCATCGTTAGTCTGAAGTAGAAACTAGAAGCCTAAGAACCTTATTCTATACTGCAGCAGACAGAAGGGTTAACACTCAAGGGTTAACAAGCAGTTGAATCAGTTACTAAATAAGTGGTTCTGAGGAAGCAGCATAGTAGCTACTAGCAAGTTCAGGCTAATCAGAAGTATGCAGGGGAAGGAATATGTTCCTTACTTGTATGGGGGAATGAAGTTTTTTAAAAAGTTGTGAAATGCAGCAGAAAGAAGGCTAAAAATCTTATATTTGTTCTAGTTTCCAACTTCTAAATTCTGCACCAAATTTTAAAATATGAATACATAAACTTGTTTACATTGTCAACACTGAGTACTACACTACTAAATATCAACACTGTGTGACTACAGAAAAAAAATTAGATCACAGTTTAACTTACTTCTTAAGATCTTCTGTTTGAATTTCTAATGTTGTCTTTTCTTCAACCATTCTATCATGCTGGTTTTTCCAGACATCAGAAGCTGACAGTATCTCAGACAGTTCGACTTCCTAGAGAATACAGGAATTACAAATAATGTTACAAAATAATGCCATCTAGTTGTACAAATTTTTCTAAACACAAGAGCTATTTAATGAAAGATGGCTTTACTGGATCTCCCTAGTACAAAGCAATCTAAGTTTTGTCTTGTCTCAAAAGAAGAAAATAAATAAAACTACCCACATTTTAAAAAGTTAAAGTCTAAGTACAGACTTACTTTCAAGTCAGGGATGCAGTTAAACACTGGCACTGTATATAAACTGTAGAATATTTCAAAATTTAAGATGAAAATATTTTCTTACAACAAAAATATTTGTCTCCAATATGTCTACTACATATAAATTACATAAATCAATACAAAAATTAATTTCTGCCAAAACATTTTAAGAATAAAAAATAATAGCTAGGTAAGAAATGCAAAGTTAGGTAAAGTCCCTCAAAGAAGTATGGATAATTAACCAACACATGCTATCTTGAAAGTACACGGGGTCTTCAATGGGGAAAGAAAACAACAGTGTGACTACAAAACATCAAAAGTTCAGTAGTTGCCAGCCCTCTGCACTGCAAAGTGCACTTAATGATCCACTACTGTCTTCCCACAAAAATCAAAGAAAAAAAAAGTTATTAAGCATCTCCTGGTATACTAACTGGAAAAATTTATCTTTAATACTGACATATCAAAAATGATGGCAACACATCTAAGAGTATGAAAACATACTCTTATTAGGAAATCTAAATAAGGCAATAAAGATCTCAGCACAGTTCTGATCCACCTGGCCTTTTTGAACATTTACATACTGTATGGATATGCAGGGCAAGAATCTAAGGAACAATTTGGATTAAGGAAGTTTTGTACTTGGATTTTGAAAAGGTTCAGAGCAAGCTGCTTGGAAACAGAAAGCTAAGTATCCATATGAGATGTCAGACACCGATAAATAAAGAAAACAAAGAGTTCAAACCCCAATCATGGACTCTCAGTTAGTATACTGTACTTCTGAGTTAGTGTATATCCATAAAGGTCTGACAGGAAGATAGGAGAGGTGTAACTGAAAGCTGGTAAGACTCCTCTTACTACAGTTTGAAGCGTACAACCTCATGGCTTAAGACATTCACTAAATTTTAACAAAACAAAGGCAGTGAACGTAGTAACAGTTTGAATGTCACTTACAGCAACCTTTATCCTTAACCAAGGAGCAAAAATATAAATAAGATAAAAACACAGCATGACCAACCAACTTTTCTTATTTTCCACAGGTAAAAGTCTCTCAATTGTTCAATTTAAAACAACACAGGATGACATTGCTCACAGTGTAGTCACTCACACATTCTCTTATTCTGGAGGTTAAATTTTCCACTGCTGCTTCAAAGTGTTGTGCTCTTTGTTTCTGGGACCTCATTACTTTTTTCAGAGCAGTCTTCTTTTGCTCACTTGTTTCCTTTAAGGCTAACATCTGGTGCTTGTATTCACCAACTTGATGTTTCCACTCTGCTATTTTCTTTTCTAGAGTCTGCAGCATAATTAAACATCAACTCTTTTCAAATACTGTAACTTACAGATCATTTTGTGACATAACATAATCAAGAATACCAATTACATTTATAATCTGTTTCCATAATGTCTTTGTATCTCAAATCTTGTGGTTGATACAAAGAGCTAGCCAAGATACATACAGCAGTAGGCAAGAGAAAATACATGCTGGAAAACTGATTACAAAGATGATCAAGAGAAGAGGTTGAGGAGGTGCAGAAGCAGGCAGGAGTAGGGGGAAAGACAGCAGTCTAACCATCATTGTGTGCTTTTGGAAATGGATCCAGAATTTCAGTGTAGAAGGCATGGCATGGATGTTAAACACATTTATGAGGAGGAAAATAAAAGTGGTTTCATCATCCCTAGCAACTAATTTCTGTAAAAAGTATCACCTTAATGATGCTACTAGTGATATTCACTGATCTAGTAGTAGTCTGTGCTCTGAATCTATAGTGAACATACACACAACTAGGGCTGGAGATCAGTATAACTGCATACGAAATTTGAATATGAAAGTTAAGATCTTAGATTTGGGTTTAAGTCAAGAAGCTAGGAAAGGCCGGGGTCTTTTCTTGAATATATGTATTATGATATGGTCTGTGACTAGATGACAACATACTATTTTCTTGGAAGATCTCGTGACTTTTTCCAATGCATATAATGGCCCCACTCTTTTAATGAAACAGAATTGTTTAGTGAAGAAACTATTTTTTTATGGCAAGTTATATTTTGTGTTCAATGGATAGTGAAGCAGAAAACACAAAAAGAAAAGATGAAGCACTCCCTTGCCCACAGCAGACAATTGTTTAAAGATAATTAAAACAGGCTATGATAAAGCTTAAACTACAGCTGTAAATCACACATTGTAAGGACAACGTATAATTTCCTGAGTGCTTGGTTTTGCAGCACTCAGGAAATAAAATACCTTTGCATTAAATATATTTTTTATTTAAATACATGTAAAACTACGTTTGCATTAAATGTATTTTTAATGCATTTAATTATATTATCAGATGTGTACAATACAATCGAGATGAGAGCTGGGTTCTACAACTGTCGTTGTATTATCTTTCCTATTGCTGTTAATATTTCTGACTAACTAGATTTTTACATCACTCAGATGAAGGCAGTGTACTGATCCCATCCAACCCAGGAAGCTGACCTCTCTAACTTCATGACTTTTGTATTTTTTCATCTACATATCACTTGTTATTTAAATGTGAATGGAAAAAAAGACCAGACATTAAAACAATACATGATGACATACAATAAAAACAATATCAGACTCTGCTTCAAAGAGAATCTCACATGCGATTATTTTTAAGGTGCTACAGCTTATGAAAAACATGAGCAAGCTACCAGTAGACAACTACTTTCATAAAGACAAGTGCAAGTTCCATTCATATTGCTTACTATTCTCTGCCAAACTACAGCAATGTAAGTAGGCTAGAAGTGTAAATAAATTGCTCAAGTCACTAATAAATATCCTAATCATAAGAATGATTGATGCATTTGTTTCTTTCATTTGAGTCTAGGTCTGACACTTAATTATGTTCTACATGAATAAAGACCAGAATGAGATGCCATTTACCTACTGACTACATTAATGTACCAGCCTTATTCAAGATACTATTTGCCAGTTGCTATAAAATATGCATATTATGCATATGAGAGGATAACTATCAGTACAGGTCCTGCTAATGGCCCCCAGACTTTTCAACAATCAATGCAAAATGTATGTGGTTTTCCAAGTAAAAGATAGTCTCAGGTACTGAGATTTACCAAAAAGGAAAAGTACTACTTCAGAAAACAGAAATGACAAAACCCCCCAAATATGCAGGAAGAAGTTTTCATATATAGATGCTTATAGGGCATTTAATAAACAAAGATGTGACTTGGCAGGGGCAGCAGCAGAACACCTTCAATCAACAGGGCAAATAGAAAATCTGAGTCTTTGTACGGACTTCAAATGTTGATATAAGTAAACAGCTGTTATCCCCTCTTACAACCGCAGGAGGTCACAATTACACTAAGAATAAGTGCTTTGGGCATTACTCAGTGGCTGAGGTAAATTTAAATCGAGAATTAATTTCATAAAGGTAATGCGGAGCTTTCGCAAGCTTTTGTCCAGATACTACCAAAACCATCATCAGAATTTAAGCTAGCAACTGACTTCAGCACTTTGTGCAGAGCACACAAAATTTCTAAATAAAGACTGAATGAAGATACAGCTGTATATCAAGTTACTTTATGTAATGAAAATATTGGAATTCTATAATGGCACTAGGTAGAACAGGAATTCTATAATGGTACTAGGTAGAGCAAGAAAGTAATTTTTATTCAGAAGAAAACATGAGGTATTTATACAGACATAGACATATGTGACTTTTTTTTGAAATTTAGTTGCTATAGGTTACTTGACAACTTCAAATTATACAATTAATAGGGGATGCTACTAAAAAAAGTTTGGAAATTAGAAATACATTATTTTTAGCCAATGTTTTCTCATTCATGCCTAAGTTCTTGACAAATTTCAAATACTGAAATCTGAGGCCAGCTCCAGCCTCTGACACATGACCTCTTCCTTGTCTTGTTCTAAAGCCAGTAACTGATCCAAATGCCCAAATTTGCCTCTTGCTTTTTAGAACAGGAAATGAAAATAACTTCACCTACCTTAAACAAAGTGAGGTTAGATACTAGTCTTAGGTGTTCCTCTTTCAGTCAGTATTAAGAGTTTTATTGATTCCTTCACAGTCAATAAAAAGAAACAGGTGGTGATTCATCACCCTTATCTTACAGCAGAAACCCATCTTGGGGACTTGCCCATCTCTTTCTATTGACTGTATGGAGACTGCCTCAGGATTGATATCTATCATCTAGATAGCACAGTTAGGTGATTGCAAATACTTCTGTGTGTTTAGCAGCAGAACTACTACTATGCACAAGCTAAGAAAAGAAGAAAAAAGAACAAACTTGCAATTAAGATAGTGTGGTCAGGCAGACTGTGCAAAATATAAATGCTAATGATTTGTACTGTTTGGGATTTTTCTTTTACCAAGGGTTTGATTCCAAGTGATACTTTAAGATTTAACTCTCACACCTGAGTTAAACTCTGACCACACTAAGGATTTGCTACTTTTTTCAATAAACTGAAACACAAGTAGAAATACGCTGACCTGTATTTTCACTTTTAACTCATCATTTTCCACTTCTTTTCTTTGAATCTGACATTGCAGGTGAGCTTGTACTGCCTTTACTGATCTTGACAGGTGGTCTTCTTTCTGTACATTGACCTAAGAAAGAAAAAAACCCACAAATCTATTGGTCTATGGAGATATGCTGTATGATGCTATCTATGTTCTTTCTACTTTGCCATAGTTTCTAACTGACATTTGAATGTCCTCAAAAGCTGGAAAAGATAAAAAATGCTCTACAATTATATTCATAAGCAGTAACTTGTTACTAATGGTATTAACGTTAAACAGAAATCACAAACTTGAAAGAGTGTATGTATAATTGATGCCTCATATTTAATCTGACTCTTGAAGTAGTATGAACAAGGCCTGGAAGCACAAACTCAGAAATCCAGGCTGAGCAAAGGCATCTAGCTAGCAGGTTGACCAAAATTAAGCCACACGGATCAGCTCTGCCCTAACTAATTAGGCCTGAACTGATCTTCATTAAATACCAAAGACCACCACCTGCTATTACAAGTATTGATACATTTAATTCAAACTCTAATTCGGGGGGGATACATAAAGCATAAGGGAAGAGGCAGCTTATGTCACCAGAACTGAGGTCAGATGATTCTATGAAATTTCTTGCAACTTGATTCCCTTGGCTTGTTCTACATAAGAAATAATGAAAACAGGTAGAAAGAAGTCATATTATCAGTATAGATTAGAAAAGCATTGTAATGCACCAGTTCAAGTGTTCATTAGAGATACCAGTAAGATAGGCAGACTCGGACTCAGTTAGGTATTGATGAAAATGCCATTTATTGGAGATAACATAAGAAGGAACAAAAGGATAGCATAGATAATTGTATCTCCATTCAGATCCTGAGCACCCCAAATTGTTCAATGTTAGATAGATCTCTAGTCAGGGCACAGCACGCTGCTCAGATGCCATCAACGCTGAGGTCTGATGGCACTGTGGTCTTCAGAATCTTCATAGGCTTTTCTGTTCAGCATTTCTACTCTCAAGCAAAAGGATGTTTCTATGAAAAAGTGCTGCTTCGCTTCAAGATAAAGACAAGGATGTGCCAATTGTGAGGTGTGAAAGGGGGCACCCACACACGCTCCTCTATTACAATTAGCTGGCTAAGTTTATCCTGCAGCCAAGCATTATATTCTCTTGGTTAAGCAAAGAAAAATTCTTAAAGAAGAACCATGGCTCTCAACAAACCCCAAGGAGTTACAAAAATCAAAGTACACCATTGTCCCCTCAAAGGTTTAACTGAGCCTACTCTGTCCGTCACTAACACTGAACCACACCGCATTGTATACACATAAAGTGCACTTTAAGTATACAAGGACTGTAACACAGATTGCTAAACTACCAGTAAAATAATTTTGAAACTTTCATAGTACCTTCTTACGCAGGACAGATAATTCTTCTCTTCCTATGTTGGTTTCTGCACTGAGCCCCTTCTTTTGGCTCCAAGAATGCATGAGGTCTTTCCTGTCAGCCTTTGATGATACTAGCTCTGCTGTCAGTACTACCTCTCCCTATTCATTGAGCTCAAAGAGCCATGGAAACTAACTGTGAACAGTAATCTGTTTAGTTTACTCTGTGTTACTTCAATATAAGTATTTTTTTCCAGAACTACTGCAAATCTGTAAATGAGAAGCCAAAAGCCATTAGTCTAGATGTCCCATGGTTCAGGGAGGGGCATACATCAGTGTTAAGGATAACCTATATACTCAATAGGTTTGGATACAGTCTCGATGGTTTTAAGATATTTCTGTAGGAAACATCCTTCAGGATTTTCCTTTTTTTCCATAGATCTTTGAAATAATTGCTCTTCTCAAAATTTAAAATTTGTAAATTTAAAGAATCTAGTACATTGGGAGAAAACATTCATTTCAACAGAACTGGTCACTCACTTTTTCAAGCTGAAGCCTGGATAAAAGTTCTTTAACATGTTTCTCCCTTTCAAGTATTTTTCTCCTGAGATTCTTCATAGAAAAAAAAATAACAAAGAAATTATTTTAATGTTTGTATACAACAATGCAACAGTAATGTATACTGATGAACATTTCAGCTGTAAAACAATTTGTGATGATAAACCACAAATGCTCCCACTTTGCCACTGTCACTTGAGACTGTATGATCCCAAGACGTAGCCATTTTCAGATGTACAGCATAGAACAAAAGTGACAGAAATTTTAATTTACTTACAGTATTTTGGGTTTCATTTTCACTTAACTTCTGCATCAAAGTGTCAATGTTTTTACTGTTTAACTGCAAGAGAGAAGCAGGAAACATTAAAAAATTACTTGCAATTATAATTGATGTAGCATTTTTCAACAGTTTTGAATTTGGCACATATCATTTGCTACATTTTCTAATTTGGTACATATGAATGTGAAAGCTCGCATACTTATGAGCTACTTAAGAGTTGGTGGTTTAAACCCTAAAGATTCAATTTATTTTGCGCATAGAACTTTATAGCTGAAGAAAACAAATTAGGCTCATTCCACACACCAATTTATTTATTTTAGCTAAAAGGACTCTAAATACCATAAATACTTAAGTGTTATTTAAACATTCAGTCAAATAGTAAAAGCATTTGTACAACTTGTAATATTTTAAAGATTAAGTATTAAAGCCTTTCAAGAACTTAAGTTAGATAGGAGAATTTGAAGATTGAACCAGAAAGCATAGGCTAGAAGATCACACAAGTAAACCTACATTAACTGTTACTACAAATCCAAAAGAATTTATGTGCCTATAATATTGTCAGCTAAACTTCTCATCTTAAAACATCTGATTCTGGGAGTTGGGTAACTTTCCATTTAAAAAAAATAGACTTGTGGGACTTTCAGGTTGTAAATCCTAAACATTTTAACTTCACTAGTGAGAGCATAAACCCACTGCCTCAGGGTGGAAACTTTGGCATCAAAAGTTCTACTACAACTCCTTGCAAAGCATATCTTATCCTGGCCTGCATGTAATTCCTCAGAATGTTCTGTAACCTTGATCCCATGTTTATCTGTAAAGTCAGTACATGGACCCCAATTCTGCATCCAGGTTTCCACCTCCGCATGCACTGCAAACTTACAAACATTGTATTCAGTAGTAGTCCTGTCCTTTCCTGACTACACTGAGTCAGATTTGCTATCAGCAAAAAACTAATATATAAACAAGAATGGTGTTTTGTGACCCCACAGTAATTCATCAGCAAAACCAGAAGGGCTTAGAAGACTTCCCAGAACTGAGAAGTGACCGGAAACCTAAATTACTCATACCATCATTCCATTTTCAGGAAATTGTTGTCCCCACAGTTAATTATCTATAAACTTCCTCTCTAATGAACAACAAAAGGCCTCATGCTGTAAGACAGCTAGCATTGTCTGTGAAAACCTGAAAATCAGGAAGGTTACCCTTAAAATTAAAAAGTTCAGAATAAACACCCATCTCTGTTAGCTTGCAAAAGGTTAGCTTTTTGGCTTCCAAAAGAAAGCTGAGAAAGTCAGCAATGACAAATCACATTTAATTTTAAAAGAAATCTACATTCTTCAGTCCATCAGGTTTCTGTGTGAGTTCCATACGACACTACTGTTAAACAGGAATTCACTGTGATCCACCTCCTGTTTTAAAATACATAGCCCACCAAATTCCTTCCGGTTATGCAGGAACTTTCTTAGTGCCCAGGACATAACAAAAAAATCTTCCCAATACGTCTATTAAAGATAATAAGACTAAATGTTAGTTTAAGACCTGTGTAAAAAATGTGTATTTGCATTGGTTCTATGTTTATGCCTTTTCTTACTTGGTGTTCTAGACTGTCAGATTCTTTGCTTAGATCAGTAAAATATTTTCCATCTTGGATGGCTTTTGTAGTTCTGTGATAATCCTTTTCATACAGCTGAACTGGTGAACAGAGTTTTTCTGCCTCTCCAGGTGGCACATAGGTACTTCCCTGAAATAGCATTCATAATTGTGTAACAATTTAGTATCACTCACGGTTAGGACACTGATCTTGCTAATTCAACATGAAACAAGTCAGCTCTTCGGGAGAATGATTAAGGAAAAATTTTAAAGATCAAAGAGATCTCTCATTTATGACTTCCAACAAGGGTAAAAGCCTGTGATATCACAAGATGTACCCTCAAACTGATCACTCACAGAACACACCTAATCTATAAGGCAAAGGTAAACAGTCTACCTCCAGTGAAGGTGGAAGCCAAGTCCTGCTCAGACACCATTATGTTTCACAGCAAAGTTCTTCCAATTTGGAAGCAGCAATGGCTTTTCTCTTCTCCCAGTTTGGAAAAACTCCTCACCAGGCAGGGCTGCACAGGAACATGACGCTGCCCATGTCATGGCAAGTCCAGAGCCAAGTATCGGTGCCTACTACCTTAATGCATCCCATTTTCCCCGATTCCTTGTCAAGCACCAGGAACCTGTGGTCACCCTCACCCCTTCTCCAAACACCTCTCTTCTGCCTCTGCCCTTGCACTCCAGCATGATTGATGTCCTCGCCAAGAACAAAGTTACCTGTTTACTCCATGCAGTGCTCCACTGACTAATCATTATTTTTCAGAAGCTCATTGTCTTGCCTTCTCCACCCACCAGGATGCATTTCTCCTGCTTTCAGCCTGTGCCAGGTGCATCGTCATCAAAAGGATTTGTCAGACTAAGAGTTTATATTCCTATATCCGTATCTCCTTAGCATAATTGAGAAAATGAGTAACAGAATTTTGGAAGTCCCCAACGAAATAAATCACTTCCTCACACAATCAGAATGTAGACTGCTCTGCTTCCAATTGTTGCCATAATGCAAATAACTACACTCCAAACATCTAGGTTTTTTTATATATATATTTATGTGTCTTTTTATTACAGGCTTACATTTCCTGGCAGACCTCAACTTGTGTAACACAGTGCAGGTCTCTACAGCTTTTTCTTTGTTATATAACCAAAACTAAGTTCTTGAATTTAATTACTTCCAGTGAAAACAGCATCTTGGAAGATTAAACATTGTGTTTCATTTATCCTAGCCCATCAATGTAAGCAGAAAACAACAAATAAGAATTTTTCCATAGTTTCAGTATACCATTTTTATGTCCAGCACTCTCACTTACCCATTTTTTAAAATATCAGCTACTTCCCATCTGTAGCTAGGAAGTATGTTTTGAAATATCTGTTTTGAATCTTGTTAACTGAGTAAATAGAATGAAAAAAATCAAGCTTAACAGGAACAGAATGAACTTGCCTCAGTAGCATGAGGAAGAAGAAACTTTTCCTGAAGATCGAAAGCCAGTACAGGAGCAGTACCGCTACATACAGGTAAAGACGAGGATGACTGCGATGATGACGACATTTTGTTTTAACGCTGTGTAACAAGACAATATATGTTAACAGATATTGGTGTTCTGTGAAGCAGTAATTGAAACATTACCGGCATCCCTGGTCATTCCCACTAGAAAACACAGTGTACCAGACCACGTAAACCCCAGACTCGTCAGAGATTTAACACAGTTAATGCAACTGAAATCTTGCACACGGATTCATAACTTGTACTCTCTGAAGTATCACTGAATTCACACGTCTGGTGCACAGAAAGCAAACCCCTTAACAGCAGAAAACTGAATACACGCGAAGGACGGCGCAAAGCTCGCAGCTGCCATTTCCCACTCCCGCGCTCCCCGGCGCAGAGGGTGAGGAGCGGGGCCGCGGGCCCCCCAACAGCGGCCCTCACCCCGGGCCCCGTCCCCTCTCCCCTGGCCAAACGCTCCTGCCCCCGAGGTGTCCCGCGGGGCAGCGGCC